ATTACATTTTTTTAAAAAACAATTTAAATTAACAAACTACAACATTTTACCAGTCAACACAACTAAATTAAAATCATCAGGACTGACTTTGTTCGAATCAATTGAAGTTGTCAATAATACAAGAGAAACCTTCAAAATGCCTAATGGAAAAGTATAGGAAAAGAAATTTACGACAAATTTCAGAACGTAATTGAAAAAAATAAAGGATTTAAAACTTTGGTACAATTTTCAAAAATACATTCCGGTGAAGTTGATACTATGGAAGGAATAGAAGAAGATTTGAAGGTTGAGGATCTTGCATTTTTCAAATATGCTCCAATAACATCAGTTGATGTAGAATGAAGTTTTTCACGCTACAAAAACTTACTTACCGATAACAGACGCAGTTACAAATTTGAGCAAATTAAAAAAACCATAGCAGCACTGTGTAACGCTAATAATGTAATAAATAATAATAATAATATAAATTAAAGTAAATAAAACACTATGTACATTTGAAAAATATATTTTAAATGTCGGTAAAAAAAAAATAATTTATAAAAATAACTACTGGATAATAAAAATATAATATTTTTGTTTTATGAATTGTAATACTTTTTGTGTGCATATTTCGGTGTTTTTATTGACTAAAAATGCATATTTTATTACTATGTATTAATTAAATTATTATTTTTCAATTAAAAAATATATTGAACAATTAAATCTAAACAAATTATTTTAAATATTTGTTTATAATGTTAGATAATTATTTATATTGTTTATTATGAAGTACAACATTTATAAAAATAATATAACCCAATAGCTTAATAAAATGTAAATATTTTTATATTGAAACACATTTGGTTAAAATTATGTTTTAATAGTGTACATTACACAAAATGTCATTACTTTGTTATTATTATTATTTTTCAAATTCTGTGTTATAGTTTTATGGAAACCCAGAAAAAAAATCAAATATAAATGTGAGCACATAATATTATTCTACTCATAATTAGTAATTATCTTGTGGCGTTTACAGTACCTATAACAATATATAATAATAAACTCTAATGAAAAAATTGTCATATAATGTGACTGACCTGTTCTGTATTAACTTATTATATTATTTTTTTTGCGGTTGTGCAATTGTTGTATAAATATAGTATATGTATACCTAAGATGTTATACTTGTACCCCTGATGTTTTTTTACTTTTAGCCGAGCTTTTAACTTATAACACTGTATATTATGATGTATAGTTGAGTTCATACTTATATTTAATTTTTTTTTAATATTACAAGTTCTTTTTAATATATAATTAATAGTTAAGCATAAGCCATATTATATTCTAACATAAGATCATTTATATTTGAACATTTTCATTGAATAAATAGGTAAAAAAAAGTTTCTTATTAATTTAGTACCAGCATATAAAATTGCCTATGTTGGCTATAATAATTCATGAATTATTAATTACTAATTAGGAGTAGAGTATTAGTACATGTGTTCACATTTAATTTAATTTTTTTTTCCGCCTATCAATTTTATGATATTTAATATCATTTGATAAGAAAAATAAAAATTGAAACTATGTTGCAGCAGCAATTCAAGATAAATTTCAAAGTGCAAATGTCTTTACAAAGAACTAGAAATCTGTTGACAATAACTTAAGTTTAAGGTGAAGTTAGTTAATGTTTTTTTTTTTTTTTATTATTATTGTAGTTCCTTAAATGGTAAAATTAACTAAAACCTATCTGCCTCTTTTGTTACAGATATATGTGTAATTAAAAAAATATTCAATGTTCAAGTAAATGCTGGTTGAATATTAATCTGCGTTTGCTGATTAAAACATTAGTCAAGAGGTAGTGTTGGTGGTAAATTGTCTCATGTTTCTTGGTGTGACAGTTGTGCAACTTTCTACTCTAAACATTCAAAATCTCCTAAACTTTTGTTTTAAAAAAATTACACATTTAAGATTTAACCTACTTATTTTGTATTGATTTCAAATATTACCCATTAAAATGTTTAAAAAAAAAATCATTAAATAACTATTAATTTTAAAAAACCGGTCGGAAAATTATTTTCACGTTAAGTAAAGTCTATGATCTATTGATCGTAGTTTTATCTATCCTTAGTTTTAAAGTCACAATATAGGTACAGTGAAACTTTTTTTTTTGGCCAATTGTTTAAGTATAATTATTTTTACAATCACCCAGATTAATGTTCCCTTGTATATAGTGCTTGTTTTTCTGATTATTTTGGTGACTAATAGGTATAGAAGTTTCACTGTACTCACTTAATTTAAAATATAGCAATGATTACCTGTAATGTTTAATATATGTTTGCAATAAACTAGGTAGCTATTGTTCCTACTTTTATATCTTTATTATTGTTCATCACATTGCATATTATAATCCATTATTACCAACTCTAAGTTCTTTTTTCTTTTTTTTTATTACCATATATTGTATAATATGAGATTTTGATTTATTATTCTAATATGATAAAGTGAAACATAATCAAAACATTACAATAGTACTTAATTACTTTGGTTTTAGGTGAACATTAAGTGTATCTAGTAATATGTAGAAATATTTGCTGTTGAATTAGACTACATGCTTAATACAGTTACAAACCGGTAAACAATAAATTGACCAGTCGTATATTTTACCACAAATGTCTAGAACAAAATAGTAAAACAATAGTTTAAAAACTTAAAATATCATTCCTGAAGTATTATTAATATTGAACTTTTCCATTTCATAATACATATAAGTAATCCAATATAAAACATAATACAGTCGAGTCGCGATAACTCGAAGTTGAAGGGGGATAAAAATTCACCTCAAGATACGTATTATTCGAGATACATAACTTGAATTTATCAAAATAAAATCAAAACTTCAAGTTACCTATGTAATGAAATATAATATTAAAATTTTAAGATAAAAACGTTATGTCAAAAATAGTACATTTATTTTTTACATTTTTACTTTCTCCACCAATTGTATCAAATGAACTTAGTCAGCTATAGTTAAATGGTTTAATTTTTGTTTTTGAGACATGTTAAAAACATTCAAAAATACGCACAACAAACATGACAGGTAGTGTAGCCACATACTAACCAATATATACTTATTATTATTATGTCTGGGCTAATAATCAGTTTCTATCTACTCGTTTAATCTTTATTATACAGTACTGAAGTAGATAATACATAATACATAATAATTAACACAATAATCACGAAATACCCAGAATATCCAGATATAACAGATATAAAAATATACTTCAACTAATCTATACATCACAATTTTATATTCAAGTTAACAAGACTTATAATACATTGAGTGTTATTATGATTTCTCGGGGAATTAAAAAAAAATTGAGTTGTCGGGCTCTTCGATTATCGCGACTCGGCTGTATAATTTAACAGAAACGATACAAATGCTATTTGAATTATTTAAAAAAAAATGTTTAATAAATATCAAATAACATTTGAAGTACATCATAGCACACCTGTATTGAATTTCTCATTTATGAAATGTAAGTACTTTACCTGTAACTAGGCTAGTAGCAATTGTTAAGTTTTAATGTTTTTACATCTTTGACTTTTGCTGTTTTAATTTTATTATTTTATCACATATCTTGGAATCGCATCTATTTTGTGTCAGAGTAAATTATATTAATCTAATAATAATAAATCAAATATAAATAATTTTAACAATTAAACCCACCACTCTTCTGCAAAAGGTTTAGTGCACCGACCAATTTAAAAAATATTAATTTAATTAATTAATTATTGGAGGGTTTCATCACTAGATGACTTCCCTTGTCCTGTGTTGTATGTGTTGTTTCATATTATTATGTATATATTTATGTCAGTCATTTTTTATACTTATTGTGTTAACAAATACAGATTGTACATTTTCTGAATAAAAATAAATAAAATAAAATTGTAAAAGTATACTGGATAATGTATATTATAATAAGTTTAGTATATGCGCAATCCAAAAGAAATAACAATGTATTAATTCTTATTGGTTATCAGAAATAAGAAATTTGGCAAATTTTTATGTTTTAAGGTCTATAATTCAGGTGAAAAGTTTTAAACCAAAATAATACTGCATTTATCTGTATAAAACCAATTGAAAAGTCAGAATCTAATATGAATTTTTTTCATTGCAGCTTAGCTATAATACAATATATTATGTTTATTTAACAAATTAGGTACTACAATTATTCTCATAAATACATTTTTTATTTAATCCAGTAATTTTTCGAGTGACATATTTGTTGTATATTTATTATTGTTTAGAAACAAAATAATAGGTAGCACAGTGAATACTTAATCAGTTATTTAAGTGTGCACTACATTGCTTCCTCTATCTGTATCTTTAATTCATTATACTCGGGTAAGATTCAAATATATTCTCAAGTATAATTCATAAGCTACCTTAGATGTACTTTATTAACTAAAGTTAGTAGGAAAGTTATATTTTTGTATGTCATTGAGGAAAAAACTCATTTTACTGATGTTAATTTTAATTTGTAAAATGGAGTTTTTTCTGTGTACATTATACATTCACAAAATCATAAATGAGTTAATTTATTAAACTATTGGCTACTCAAAATATATATTATTATAGCCAAAAAATATTGAAAATTAATTTTAAATATTAATCTTTTTACTTGTACAAATATTGAGTGGGCAGAAAAAAGTAAAAAAGGTATGGTATTAATAATTAATTAAAACGAGTTTTCAATTTATAAAAAAGGTACAGTGAAAGGTTAGAAAACATGTAGATGATCTATGAAATATGTTGTATGTTAATTATTAATAAGAGTAGATATTATAGCGTTGGCAAATAGTTTCTGGGAAAGATATGATGAAAAATTAAATTTAAAGGTTCTAATAAAAATAAAGCCAAATCATATTTTTACTTGGTAAAATGTTATTGAATAAATTTATTGTATGTATAAGTTTTACATTAAACATAAAAAATGTATAATTTTGAAGAATAAAAAAAATTTTAGGTAAATGATATTTAACTATTTTAATTTTTAATTTAATTTGGATGTATGGTTTAATATTATGCATTACTTTTAATGAGCTTCTTCTGGTTTACCACAATCACACTTGGAATCACCCATATGAGTTGTAGATATAGGCATCCCAATAATATACAAGCTATCAATTCTTGTTACTTTCTCATCAGTTTGATTGTTTACAACAAATATCTGCAGGTTATAGACGCCCAGGAATTTCATAAATTTCAAGTTAACGATTTTACCATCTAATTCATCAGGTTTCAATTCCAGCTCCTGGGTAGCTAAATTACATGTTGCAGTATCAAAATCTATGGTGTTTGGCTGGTTTATAAACAACTTCAATGATTTTGGTCCATTATCTTTAGGAGCTGTAATCTAAACGATTAAAAAAAAAGAAATATTGTGTTAATATTTTGTAATAAGTCATATAAAAACAATTATAAACTACATATTCTACATATTAGTTTAATTTAAAGGATCATAGTTTGATCGGTAGACTTTAATTCATACAATAGCATTTAGCACTTTAAATTATTTAATTTAGACATTAAGAAGTATTGATTGAATTGATCAAAGTGCAAAGTAACTTATAAATGTAGTAAAAATTATAAGATCATGCATACTTTTACTACATGTTGTAAAATATAGAATAAGTTTACTTATTTACATGTATACCTAAGTAATCATTAGCTAGACAGGTGTATTTCCCTTTCGGTTAATTCTATTTAGTGGTATATATTAGTTAGTTTTACTGAATAAAAAACACTTAATTATATTGATTTTAATATTTAATTAAATTTAACAACTATAATCGTGTAAGTGGAACGAACTACGACAGATACTCGGTTACATTATGTCGTTGCCAGTAGTCGTGGGAAAATGCTTACTTATCTTAAATGACCTTAACAGTTAATAATCAGGTGTTTGTAACATTGGCAATAAGACCACATACATATTATATATAACTAACAATTACTAATGGATAACTCACTCTGATGGAATGCACTTTGACAGATTGTTTGAAAGAGAATGATAAAATAAGCTGCTCATCGCAATCTGATTCAATATAGCCTTGGTTCTCGATAAGAGCCGACAGTGGATGATCGTCTGAATCATTAAGAGCCTCGCACTGAGTTCTCACAATGAAAGGGTTAAGGTCCATCAGACCATTTACTCCACAGTCTCCGATAGCAACGGCAAGTGGTGTTTCGAATAATTCGATAAGTTTCGATTCGACAGCTTCTATTTCGACAGTATGGATCTCAGCCAATCTAATTTTATTGCGGTACATCAGAAAAACCGGCAAGGAAAACACGGTTCGCAAGGGACCTCTCCCTGTGTACCGTTCAATGTCGACTTTAAGGAACACTATGTGTTCATACTTGTCAGAGAGTTCGTCGAAATGAAACGATAGACGTGCGGACATACCGTCAAAAGTACCCGTGAGGTCCGCGACGATCAGCTTCTCGCCGTTCTTTATTAATTCTTCATGAACCTGGTCATAGTTCTCGATTTCTTTGACGACCATTTTGGCTGTTTGACAAGATCTTCGATTGAATGTCAATTTGGAACGACTAACGAAACGTGGATGTTATTATACCGGGAAACGCAGACATGACAGTATGACACACAAAAGATGTACACAAACATTGTACCCATTGTAATCACCAATCGGATCATCGGCCATCGCATCAGCCGCACGATGAGCGTAAATCCTGTGGTACATCCATCGAAATTGATAAGAATATTGGGGCGCGTACTGTACACCAAAAAAACAGTAAGCCCGTATTCTGTTTTCGCCGTATAGATATGTGTACAGTGGCGGTGTTAGAGTCAATCGTTAGGAGTTGCGGACGTTTCGTCCCCGTCAAAAGAAGCAGTCTACCGACGTTTTGTCCGCTCCAGTTATTGAACTAGGACGTTTGGTCCCCCGGCATTTTAAACCACTAAAATTAAATTGCTATTTTATTTTTTATTTTTTTAAATTATTGTTATTAAAACGTAAAATATCAGTACCTATAATATTTTATATTGATAAAGTAAAATTATTACCTACAACTACAATATAACATTCAACAGTCAAATTTAATTTTTAAACAACATAAGTAAGTTACGCCCTATGGTTAAATAACCGTCTTATAATTCCTGGTGACCAAATGTCCTATCTTTGATAATTGACGGGGACGTAACGTCAGTGGACTGTTTTTTTTAAGGGGACGAAATGTTCGTTTACCATCGTTGGATTTCGTGACTAGTGACGACGCCACCGACCGACCTTTATTTTACGTGACAAACACGAACTAAGATATCTCGGATATATAGTGGCGGATATGGGGTAGGACTGATAGGTGTGTTTATCCCTATTGAGAATATGCCGCACGCGCTCTTGTCACGTTTGTACAGAATTTATTAATTTGTTCTTTATAACCGTGGCTGTAAATTTTGGAGATAATTTCAATTTAAATATATTTATTACAAAGTATTAGAAAATTACCCTTATTTAGTAATGTGCTCCATTTAAAGAGGATTAAGTCCTATCTGAGAAACGGCACTATATAAGTAAAAATTTGATATATTTTCCTATGTTTAATTGCCTATTGGGGTACCTATGCTTATTATTTAGTATAATATGTTGTTGTTATTTTATAAATCAGGCTAAATGGACAGGCCATGACACCGATCACTTATAAAAACACCAGGTGAAGTAATTGATGAGCCAAGCCTAAAAAAAGTAGATTTGATTTCGTATAATAGATAATAATAGGTACAAAATTGTAATGATTGATAATAAAACATTATTATTGCTATATAATATAATAAATAATTTTACAAAAAAGTGCTTAAATTCCACATATATTTGTAATAATAATGTTTTTTAACAGAACATTGTAATCTCAAGTGACAAACTAACATGTTATATAATATTAAAATGTTTATACCTAGCTTATATTATAATGATGATGTTATACAGTTATTATAATTAAAGCCTTTATAGGGTAAAGTATACAGTTATTGGAACCTTAAGCAAAAATTGTGTTTCAAAACATTTTATCATTAACTTATTATAGTGATTGCTATCTTAGTAACCTCTTCGATTATAATCAAAATATTGTAATCTATCATAATTTGTAATCAGAATTTAAATCCATTTAATATTTATATATGTTTTTAATACCTTTATATAAAATGACCAAAAGTTACAGTTATTGGCACTACAATTCAGTTATTGATTTCTAAATTTCAGTTATTGGCACCCTCTTTAAATTATTTATTTAATTTAGTTAATTAGGTATATTATTTAGGTAGGTAGGTACATGCATATTAGTATACAATAATAAAAATATACTATACTTGAAAGGTATATTTACCTATTATAATTTAAAAATTATATTTAAAAAAGAATAATTCCACAAAATGTATAGCTAAAGCTGTGCCTTCTAAATCCAAATTTAATAACAAATGAATTAATTTAACACATTTTATAATTATTATTGAAAGGTAGCTATTTAAATGAATTGCGTATTATACTTGATAGCACATTATATCAGAATAACTATTATTTTGAAACATTTACAATGTATTTTTTTTTTAATGATGGGTACCTATGCATAATAATAAAATTGAAAAATAAATTTAATCACAATTTCTTTATTGTCATAATATAATAATAAAAACAGTACAATTAAATGAATTACAATTTATAGTTTGTAATAACATAATAATAAAAATATAAACAGTAAATAAAATCAATCACATTTTTTTTTTTTTTGTGATAATAGGTATAATAATAAAAACTAGAATAAAATTAAATCAATCAGTTTATTTTTTGTAATAATAACATAATTTGTATATACTTACGTAAGTGAATAAAAATAATAATAAACAATAACAAATTCTTAGTTATCAACAATATTAAGTACCTACCTTTTTTTTTTTTTCCGTTTGAACTGACAGCAGAGGAGGATCTGTGTGAACACTACTACTCCTCTGCTGCCATCGTTTATTAATGTTTAATAGGAACGTTAATATATGCACATCTTCACTTTAAAAATAAACATTAGTACAATAGATACAATACAGTGCAATACAATGCGATACTATTAAATAATAAAGTTAGTCAGTAATCACGGCCTGCTGTCAAGTGCAACATAGTGTGCTCAGTCAGTTGGAGCGGCTGCCACTGCATTCGCTCTTCGTTCGGCCTCAGCTATCCTTTCATCATGCTCCTTGCAGCTTAAAATATTGTCAACCATGTCATAAAAGGACTGAGTGGCGCGTTGGGAGGCAGACTTCAGCCGGTCGTTCTCGCACAACAAATCCTGAACGTCTCCCGGAGTTATATTTCGGTTACCAACAAACATCTTCACTGGCAGCCGAAGCGGATCCCAGTAAGCACAGTCAAATATCGTGTGTTCCGCAGTGCCCTCCGGGTGTTGGCAGTACAGGCAAGCCGCATCAGGGGCGCGCTTCATCCTGTGTAGGTAGTACCTGAAACACCCGTGTCCCGTAAGAGCCTGCGTTACATGAAACGTGAGGTCTTTGGGACAGTTAATAAAGTACCTACCTACCTAAGGGCGATACCCGTTTGCGTACATTTAACCTTTTTTGAGACTCGTTTGCGTACAAATGTACAACTCGATTGCCCACACGAATTTTTAATACCTGTGATAAATGACCCAGAACGTAGGACTCGTTTGCGTATACATAAACTAGGTAGGTATAGCAAAAGTCTACTAAAACGTCTAAAACCCTAAATAAAAATAATATTTAAGATTGTTTTCAAACATTTTCCTTCTCACTTTTACAGGCTTAGGACTGTCTGTTTACAACAGGCGTGATTAAAAATGTCCTTTTACTATTTTATTAATTTTAATGTAATGTATTTAGTATTTTTGTTTTTGAAATTCAATTTAATGTAATTTAATGTATGTTTAATGTTTCTTTGTCGTTAATTAAACTAATTTATCGCTATAATATTTTGTGCCGATTTGTTTTAAATATTCCAATCGATTTATAGATTTGTTACATAATTGTCTGAAACAATATAAGTAAGTGTTCCATTTCCAAAAACATGTTCCCCGTTTGAAATTGCCTCTAAATTAATTTTGCACGTACTTATAATTATATTTTTGTCATCACTCATAAAACAAAATTGTTTACCCTTGTATTGAATTTTATTTTGCATTTCATTTAACTGTTCGATAGCAATTTCAGACGATGTCGGTAAATTCGGAAAATGCTTTCTTCTTATATCATATATAGAACGCCTAAACAACTTCATATACGTATGAGTTAAATTTAACGAAATATCCTCCATATTTTGTAAATCACAACGTATCAATTAACTTGGAAGTATATGTAAGTCATCGTTTGCTTTACGTTTTAAAGAGCTTCTTATAATTTCTCTAGAAATTACCTGGTCAGTGTGTGCTTAATGATTGTGTTCGTTTGAAGTATTAATTGCCCTGGTAATCGGTTCATTCACTAACTCTTGATGTACATTTTTTATTGGTACATCTAAACAATAGATCACCTGATTTTAAAACACGAAACTCACTATACTTATAGTTTTTAATATTAAAACAACGTTTTCCTCTGCGCGTTTCAAAAACATTTGGTATTTGAATGTCCATAGTACTACACGAAATAAAATGACTCGTATCTCAATAGCATCATACGTTGGACTAAATAATAAGCATATAGTAACATCCAGCGGTCGTTAATAAGACAATAACGCACCCATTTATCTAAAATCACATTATCGTTTAGAACCAACTATGATAGTTAATCAATTACGTGTATCTTATCTTGTCTAATTTAATAGTTGTACGCAAACGAGTCGTCTTTTTTCAGGTCAAAATTAGTATTAACCGGGTTTTCACGTTTTTCGATGTGCGCAAACGAGTTGTCAGTTCATAGGCGGAGATCTTGTGAAATATTGAGGGGGCTCAAATATTTGATAACAAACAGACCCGTAACTTTGTAACTTTAAATGTTTATTTAGATGGTTGATCGATTGTATTTGGAATTCAAAATTATTTTCTGCAGGTATTAAGTTATAGGTTGTTTTCCTCTAAATGAAAATTCCTATTCTCTGTGGCTGTATTAAAATTAGATCCATCATCAACAGTATTCAGAATCAGAACATCGTGTTCCATTGAGTATTCTATGGGTTCATATTCTGGCAGTAATTGTTCATCAATTTCATTATTATTTTTAGATCTTATATAAATAGTATCTTCATTTACTTGAATAAAATCCTGCTCCATCAAACAATGTTCATTATACATATTTATCTTTCCAATACTATCTTGATTTTTTTCTAAATCAGCCAAATTATCTATTTCATTATTTGGATATATTTCAATATGGTCTTCACGTTTCTTTTCAGTCTTATTTTTTATCAACTTGTTTAATTTGTATAATGCTTCAAATTCTTTAGACAGAGTGGTTGTTTCTGAAGTAATGGTCAGTATTACTGAATTTTGTTATAATTTCAGAACCAACAACATCACAAAATGCATTTAGGTCCAAAATTTCATTTGATAAATTATTTGTAAAATCAATTGGTTCAACTAAAGCCTGATCTTTACCAAGACATTTATTAAAATTAATTTTGTTAGGATTCCACGGATAAAGCACACATGCTTTAAACCCATTTTTTAAAATATCTGGATTTATAGTTTCGTTAATTACTTTTTCTAGTATTGGAGCA